AAAATTACATGTGTTCAGAGCTAGGCTTTTGGAAGCTAACTAGGTCATGGGGATACTATATTCATCAATGGACTACTCCATTGATAAATTTATAGCTCAATGTGTTCTTAGGAGGTGGTTGAAAGAGGTATGTAACTGAGGCCATGCCTATAGAGGGTATATCTCCCTTGCCAGAGGTGTATCTCTCTCTGTACTTCCTTGCCATTATGAGGTAAGCAACTTTCTTCCACCAACTTTCTTCACATCTGCTTTGGAGCCAGGTAACCATGGACTGACTCCCCCCAAACTGTAAGCCAAATTAAACTTCTCCTCCTTTAAGTTTTGGATGTTGAATATTTTTTGTCACTGACACCAAGGTGACTAACACACTGGCAAATGTTGAAACTGAAATTCATTATATTGTACTCTATTTTTTAGTTTAAATTTTTGCATAATTTTTCTTGAAGATAAGGTTTTTTAAAAATAGAGAACTTCTTTTCAACATTTATTGCAAAGCAGTAGACACCGGCCTACAATTGGCTTTAATCTCAATGTCAAACCTCTTCAAAGACTCCAAATAAAGTAATGATAAAATAATACTAATATGAAGAAGTCACCTAGAAATCTTATACTTTGAGCAATAAACTACTAAAATCATTACATTAGTAAAGATTTGCAGCTACATTTTAAACGAGCAAGTCAAGTGGTTTTCAATGACCTAACAAACACCCAAAAGGCAAGCATAATTTTAAGAAAATATTATGAACCTAAAAATCTTAGCGTAAAAAAACAAAACTAAGAGGTTATATTCTCATTAGTATTTACATACTGTTGTTTTCTTGCTGTTTTGGTCCAACCTGTTCTTTTGAGCCTTATTCTTATTTATCATTTCTTGTGCACTGTCTTTAATTTTTTATGGCTGGGACAAAATACAGTGATACCTTGGTTCACAAATTTAATTTGTTCCATGATTCTGGTTGCAAACTGGGTGATTCCACTTGTGACCAATTTGATTCACTACCAGAATCATGGAGTGAATTAAGTTTGTGAACCACTGTACCCAACATCCACAAGTTAAGGGAGAAGGTTTATTTAGCTCACAGTTTGTGGAAGTTTCAGTCCATAGTCAGCAGGCTTCAAGGCAGGGTGGCATGGCAGAGGGACATGCCAGGCAGAAGGCAGAAAAGTAGCAAGCAACAGCAGCCTGTCTTCTTTCCAACCCTTTTTGTCCCACCTAAAATACAAGCCTTTTAGGTGATGCCACCCACACCCAGGGTGGGCCTTCCCACTATCCACACCCTTAACTATGGTAAACCAATCAGTGCAGTCATTTACTATCACACATCCTTAATCACAGTATCACAATCCCTAGATCAAGCAAGCTCCAAAAACCCCCACCTGTGAGGCCATGCAGCTTTTGGGGGATGTGCTGACACAAGCCAGAACAAGTACTCAGCACCACATGAGATACTGATGATAAATTCCCTCTCGGGATCAAAGCTGCACAAGAAAACACAAAGATTAGCTGGTTTGGAAATGAAAACCAAGTGAAATATTAAGAAGCCTATTCTGAAGTCTGCTTTTTGCTTTCAGCTTCAGCCTGTGATACAAAAAAAAGTCTACTTTAGGGTGTAACAAGACTACAATTGGTAACATAAAGAAAACCACTGATTGAAAAGAGAAAATAACCCTCAGAGATTATTGCAAGAATACACCTTAGAAATCTTTTCACTTATGATATACAGGAATAAACAGAACTTATTCCTAGCTCTGAAGGTGTTTAACAGTCCTGCCCACCCCAACCCTGGCTCAGGTTCAGCAGATTTTTGTTCCCTTTGTTTTGGTAATTCTACCTCTGCTTCCCCGTCCATGTGTTCCTGATGGGGCTGTCAATCACAATGCACTTCCTTATGAATGACATTATAGTAAGTGATGCAGGGTTGGAACAGTTCAACATCTCACAATGAAGTCCTTCCATGGTGTCCATTAGGTCACTTTGTAGGGGAAAATACAAGCAAATGGCTAGTACTTGAGTGCTAGAAGTTCTAAGTGCTAGAATCAAGCACTTAGGACCCAATCTCTACAGCTCCTTGAATTATGAGTTACTCTTTAATCCTTTCAAACTACTATACTCAAGTTTTTGTTTAGGATGGTTAGAATTGGGTTTCACTTGTCATTTTCACCTGAAGGAATCCTGAAGAGTTGAACAACTTGTTAAGATCCAATGGATCCTAAATAGTAGAGCCATCACCAAACCCAAGTCTGGGTTTTCACCTTTATATAGTAGGATCTTCCTATTGTGATTATTTTTTTTATCATACAGATGAGTTCTTCTTAAAATCTTCTTTCCCTTAAGAATGGAAGGGGAGAGGCTGTGTAGGGTGTGTGTGGATATTAAGGTCTGTCAAACCCTTTACCATTTTTTGTTTGTAGGAATGAAGTGAAAGCTGCAAATATTGTATACACACTAAAAATTTATTTTAACCCACTTTACATGGTACTTCACACATATAAGGAACGTAAGCTGGCAACCATGCAAATTTCTGTCCAAGAGCAAGTCAAATCTGTGTACCTCAAGGAAAAAATGATACAAAAATATTTTCTCTTTCCTCTACTCAGTTGTAATGGTAATGTAATGTTTATGTTTTTAAAGTTGAACAAGAGGACTGGGCATGTGGGTCAGTGGTAGAGGGCTTGCCTAGCATGCCCAAGGCCCTGAGTTCAATCCCCACACACATGCACACACACAAAACGTTAAGAATACATGTATTGGGTATGATTAAAAATACAGAATGCTGCTGCCAAGTACCATCCAATCTTCAATATGAGAAATGGTGCAACCTTAGTAGCAGTGTGTCACAAGTTTCATTTACGGTTCTATTCAATCATTTTACTAACAGATTTAAATATGAGGCAAGTGAGTGCAAAATTTGCTCCAAGCATTTTGACTGAACAAAAGCAAGAGCATTCCTCAGTTTCACTGGAGTTAATGCTGTTTCCAGCTTTGTAAGAAATGTCATCACTAGAGATGAAGCTTGGGTCTATGGTTATGATCCTGGGACCAGGAATCAGAGTATTCAATGGAAATCACCCAGTTATCCTTGTGCAGAAACAAAGCAAATCAATTAAGATCCAACATCAAGGTGATGTGTGTTTTGAACTTCACGGGATTTTGTGAACCAAGTTTGTACCTAGGACACTAGAGTAATATTCTAAGGGCTTACGAGAGGAATTAAGAAATGCTGTGCTACAACCATTATGGAAACCACTATGGTGACTCCTCAAAAAACTAAAAACAAAAGTTCCATCTGACCCAGCTATTCCTCTCCTAGGTGTCATGCCCAAAAGTTAAAGACATCACAACACCATGGTGTATGCACACCCATCTTTACAGCAGCACAATTCATAATAGCTAAGTCTTGGAAACAGATGTACAGATAAAGGAAATGTGGTATTTATACACAATGCAGTACCAGACTCCTACAAAGGATAAACTTGAGTCACTTGTAGGACAACGGATGCACCCTGAAACTATAATGTTAAGGAAGTAACTCAGACACAGAATTTTGAATATTAAATGGTCTCTCTCATATGAAAGAAATACATGAAGTACAAAATAAGAGACATAATAGGAAAAGAGACAAAAAGTGGAAGTGCAAACAACGTATCTAAAAGTGTGCCTTAACTCTGCATTTAACTGTCTAATGTATTTATATATATGTTTTTCAGCCTATCAATCTGATTTTTAATATGTATACATAATAAACTTTGAAAGTGCTGGCAAAATAAAGGGGGGGATTTGGGAAGGGGAAAAAAGAACTGAAATGTATTATGCACATACACCAATATATATTACAATATGTACTAATAAAAATCAAAACAAAATTTAAAAAATAATGTCCATAAGGAAAGAGCCTGAGAAAATGGGCAATTCATCTTCTATGAAGACAATGCTGTGTCACACATTGTACATCACTGGTACAGCAATTTTTGTCAAGCAAAAACCTTACAGTGTGTCCTCATCTACCTTATTCACGGGTCTGGCACCATGCGACTTCCGGCTCTTCCCCAAAGTTAAAATGATCATGAAAGACAGTTGTTTTGAATCTATTCAGGACATCAAGGCGGCCGTGATAGTGTAACTAAAGATAGGAAAAATAACTTCAGAACTGTTTCAGAAGTGGCTAGAACAGTAGGACAAGTATATTGGAAGCAAGTGGGAATATTTTGAGAGGATTAATGGCAATTAAAAAAAAATAAACGTTAACCATAGTTTTGACCATACCGCATATTTCCATTTTAGAATGGTGTTCTTTACTGTATCACCAGTATACGCAAAGACAAATGATTACCAAAATGATGCGGGGGCTGGGGATTTAGCTCAGCGGCAAAGCGCCTGCCTGGCAAGCGCAAGGTCATGAGTTCGGTTCCTGGTACCAGAGAAAAACAAAAAAAAAAAACAAAAAAACAAAAAAACAAAAAAACAAAATGATGCGACCAGCTTAAAAATTATTAACTTTTGAATACTTTAAAATTTTAAATTAAATGTAATTTTCCTCTTTTCTTATTTTAAATGCTTACTTTCTCTTATTGTAATTAATATATAATTGGAAATTCTCACTTCTTTCTTATTACTACTTATTTGTTTATTCACTTATTAGTAAGGCCTTTGCAAGATTTGCTTGCCATCATACTTTTAAACAGCTTTGCTTATATAAGATACAAAATATTTGTTAAACTGATAAATAAATTACATTGTTACAAAATAAAAGCTACTACTTTGACACCTACCAGAATTTTGAAATTTAAGGATCATGGATTATTTTCATTTTTCTTAGAAAATGGGATGAAAATGGGTTAAAAGCCCAAGTGTCAGTACTTAAGAGACGGAAGCAAATTCTCTGATTGGGGTCAGGGGAAGGTGATTCCTGGGAATTTCAAGGCAGAAGTAGAAAGTACTCCTGCGTGAACCGGAGCAGCTTCTCACGCATCCGCCTTTCACACAGACGCTCTGGACAGACTTTTGTTTAAACAGAAGTTTTATTTTAAATTAATACTTAATAACTACATATGTTGATAGCATACAATGTGATACTTGGTTTTACGACTAGGTTCCATTCATGGCTTAAAAATAGGGGGCTGGAGTAGCAAGGTATTCTAGGGAATTTGGAGCGAAACATATATAGCTGAGTGACTTTACATTCTAATGTATACTTATTATCCTCTTTACAAGTCCATGGTCTATATTATTATTGTTTTTATAGCCTGACAATATAAAATTAGTTCTGCCTCAATTCTAAGGATTTGCACAATTAATAATTTTTAGAATTTTAGAGGTCAATAAAATGTTAAGGCTTCTAGAGTTAGAAAATCTTTGACTTTTATATAAAAAAAGTAAACCTTTTATGAGAGAATTTGATTTTTTGGACTCACACATTTCTCCTTCCACTGCGTTAACCTTCTCACTCATTTCTTTCTCTGTACAGAGAACACATAACAACATGTACCTTGTTTCCTCCTTTTCCAGGTTACATTTTGTCTTGAGTAGATTTAAAACCTGATTAACTGTAATAGGATTCCAGGATGGGGGCAGATGTCTGCTAGTCACGGACGATATCTCTTGCAATCAGCTCCCTCATTATTTCATTGGTACCACCATAGATCGGCTGAACTCGGGCATCCACATAAGCTCTAGATAAATTAAAAGATAATTGAATTTATATAAACAAAAGGTATTAGAAATTTTAAAATTCATTTTACTAGATAACTGTTAGAGTCTACATTTAATGAAATTCAAGCAATAAAATTTCTTCATAACTTACTTATTTTCCCAGTATAACATTCATCTCAGGTTGATATATTTAAACACCTATCAAAGCACTGATAATTTATGTAGCTTTTCTAGTTTACTTAAACAGATTACAAATTCAAAATCAAATTTATAATTATGTTTCACCTGATTTAATTTTATAAAATTCAGCACATAAAAAAGCATTCTGAAGAGTTATGTTTCAATTTTTGAATGCATGAAATATCTTAATTACTTTTTATCTTTTAATATTTTCCCACGAAGTTGAAATGTACTGGTTTAAAAAAAAAAAAAACTAAGCCAGGCGTGGTCGTACATGCTTGCAATCCCAGCACTCACGAGGCTGAGGCAGGAGGATCAACATGAGTTCGAGGTCAGTCTGGGCTACAAAGTAAGGCCAGTCTGATCTATATAGGGAAACTTTGTCCCAAACAGAAAAAAACAAACAAACAAAAAACAAAACAAAACTAGAGAAATTAGTTATCTTCCCATTACTGTTAGTTTCTATCACCGCTACATTCATGAGTATAAATTGATGCTGTCCAAAACACTACTTCTATAGAAAAAGAAGTTATTTTGGAAGTGATTAATAATCACTCCAGTGACTTATGGTGCTAAAATACTAAGGGGCAGACTCCACTGCCACCTTCATGCAGAAATACAGGCTGTCAGTTCACTTCTGCACAGTTATTTTTACTTTTTCTCCCCTCAATCTAACCTCTCAGCTCTGGGATCAAGATGATAAATACTATGAACATTTTGCATGTATAAGAACCCAGATTCAGAGCATTTACTAATTAATGGTTACTACACCATTAGGTCACAAAACAGGTGTCAGCAGACTGGAATAAGAATGTTAGGTATCCTCACTCTTTGGAAAGAATCATTTTTATTAGGTCACAATCCTTCAATGATGCAGGCATTTGGGGCCAATTATTGAGCTTTAGAATTTTCTAGCGGACAAAAATCAAAGGCATTTTTTTTCTCAATTAAAATCTTTTGCTTTCTAATTATTTAGTTTTTGAGACAAATTAAATGTGCCATCTCTCTAGGAACATGACCAACCCTGGATTTAGATTTCTTCATATTCACCAGGGCACCTTACAAACAAATGAGTGCTCAGTAGGTATTTACTGATGTGATTTATTGTACTGCAAAGGAAGTTGAGACCCTCGGTACTTTCTGATGCAAGTTTTACAATCTAGACATTTATGTTTTCATATATTCTCCTTTCTGGACAGATTTTGTTGTTTCCCTCAAAAGCAGGCCCTTGCGTGTTGAGGTGCTTCCTGGCAATTTAGCCGACTTCAGCAATTCCGATGCTCTTAGACAACTTTAGACTGGGTAGGGCACTTTTTTCCTTGCAGTAAAGAAGTTCCAATGGAGTATGTAACGACAGAGATCAGTGGACCTTTTATAGGTTACTAATTCAATTTGGTCATCAACTAAAGTTAACAAAGAATAGCAAGAGAAGAAATGTTTAACTACACTGCACTGAAGCTCTTCATGTCCGGCTGCCTTCCTTAGCCTCACAGAGAAGCCATCAAATGCCCAGGCTTTAGCTTCACTTCTCAGAGTCCTACTCCAAGGAATAAGACAAATAAACCCACATGCTGGGTTTATTGAAGAAAATACCGGTGTCGAGGAACAAAGTACCTTTTTTACCTATGAAACCAAGACAGCACTAAATTATACATGTGTAGCAAGTAATGTAGCTTAATCTGGGAGATGGAAGCGTAAGCAAGTGGATTTTCTTCTCTTAAATCAAAGTCTGCCTGCTAGACCCACATACTGCTGTATGTGTCAAATCGGCTTACCTGATTTTAGGTGACATTAAGAATCCTTTTGCCTTTGAGGAGATAAACAGTGGTCTAGACAAAGATTTTTACAATCTTTGAACTAACAAGGTGGCCAAGAGGGTAATTATTATTCTTCACATGACATGTAAGTTTTTCAAACTGAAAACAAGGATTTTAAATAAGCCATCAGTTTTTTCCTGCTACTGATATAAAGGAAAGAACTCTGAGAAAACAGACCACAGTTTATACCATGCTAACCTTAAACGATTCAGATGGCTGACTCCTCTGCATCTGGTATGTCTTTCTTGGAACCTGAACTAAACTGCACAAACATGAAACCACTCCACGACTACATTCCTAGCAGTGGTTATAACAACACAGTTAAGCAGAAAAATATAAACATCTACTTCTATGTCACTTTCTAAGCACTGTGAATATTATGAGTAGACGGATGGCTACTCTGAATAAAACATAAAAATGTACAGGAAAAATCCCAGTGATGACTGAGTTTGTGCTAGCTCACCCGATACTTATTTCCTGACTACACAAAGATTTAAGAGAAATCTGCTAGCGGGGTGCAGCAGCAAACACCTGCAATCCTTGCACACTGGAAGGCTGTGGTAGAAGGATCACAACTTCAAACCCAGGCTGGGCAACTGAGGGACTTACTGAGAACTTGTCTCAAAACAAAAACTAAAAAAGGGCTGGAGATATAGGTTTAATCTTCAGTACCACACACAAAAAAAATTTGCCTAAAGTCTATTCCAAGTAATGCAGAAAGGACAAACCAAAGCCAGGTCCAAGGACTGATTAAACAAACAAGAATCACTCAGCTATTTCATGCCTCCATTAACAAAAGAAACAACCCTGGTTAATGTTGAGTTTTTCCAAAGAGTTATACATTATGTCTAGCAAATTAGTTTTCTGAGTTGCCAGTGACCAAAGTCAGCAAGTTATATCTATACTACAGCTTCTGTTCTTGAGACTCTAATAAAATGTTTATTTATTTATTTATCTGTCTATCTAGCTATCTATCTATTTATTTACTTATTTAGACACAGGGTATCACTATGCAGTTCAGGCTGGCCATGAGCTCATTTTGTAGACCAACCTGGTTTCAAACTCGTATCGAATCCCCCTACCTCAGCCTCCCGAGTACTGGGATTACAGGCATGTACCACCACGCCCAGCAAATGTTTATTTTCCCTTGTAAGGATTTCAAGCATATCAGTTTTTACATTATTCTCGTAAAATGGACAATTTCAAAAGTATTAGGCAGTTTGAATATAAGGCAGTTTGATAATTTTTTATTTAAATCCACTATATTCAGATAAAAATTAGCAAAAGCTTTTAGAAGTCCATAGCATTCTTATCCTCAAATTCAGAATTAAAATAGAGTTTTCTATATATACATCAAAACTTCCTCTGGAAAATTTTATAAGCTGAAAATACTGTGCAGAAAGATAAAAGCAGGTGTGGTGGCACATGCTTGTAATAGCAGCATTCTGGGAAACCAAGGCAGAAAGACCTCAAGTTTGAGCCTAGACTGGGCAATCTGGTGACTTCAGCAAAACTCTATCCCTAAAAGAACATTAAAAAAGGGCTGAGGATGTACCTCAGTGCAAAGCCCCTGGACTTAATTCACTATAATGCCAAAAAAAAAAAAAATGAAATAAAAGGGAAAAAGATATTTTCTAAGGTGGTGAGGAAGCCTGTCATGAGGAGACCGAGATGGAAAACCGAAGGAAGAAGGACAGAAGAAATAATGGGAACACGGGAGAAATAAGGAAGATGGCATTCTTTATTTACAAGCTGCCACTGTTTCAAGCCAACTGTATTCACATGTAATAAGATAAAGAGGTGCATTTCATTTCCCTTAATTTGAAGAGATGAAAATTCTATTTAGAAAAAATAAACACTTATTTTTCAGAGCAAAATAATAGTATTTAAGGTATGACATAGCCGATCCTTTTAGTACGCAAATTCATTATTCTGCACTGCTACTTTTGCTTGTTTGCTTGCAAAAGTTGCTAGCAGTGTAGCTCAGTGGTAGCACACACTACCTAGCTGTGCAAGGGGATGGGTTCAGTCTCCAGCAATGCAAAAACAAAACAATGACGCAAAGTGATATGTGTTCTTCAAAGCCAAGACAAGCATCGAGTTTTGGTATACTGGTCTCTTTACTTTAAAATATGACACTTCTAATGGTGAATTGATAAAAAACAAAGCTCTTTTCCATTTGCATGAATGTACTCTGCAGTCAGCTGAAAAATACAGAATGCTTGTACTTTCTTTCCCTCTGTACTTGATGTGCAAAGTAAAGAAAATGTCTTTCCTTTACATCATAAGAAGAGCGTAGCAGAAGCGCAGTACTCACTTTGCAATTGGGTACTCCCACATGTATCCCCACCCTCCATGGAGCTGTACACAATCATAGGCCACTCGGTTTTGTAATTCAGATGCCCTGGATGACCAAAACAAAAAGCAGAAAAGGAAAGTGTAAAATGAATGTGCAAGAGATACTTTATAATCAAGAAATCAATTATTTATGATTGTTTAAATGCATATACTTATCAAATAATTCAAATAAACCTTTTAGAAAAGATGGTAAAAATTATATGCAAAATAAATTTCAAGAGAACTTTCACATAAACGAATACCTTCCTTCAATTTTAATTCTGGCCACACTTTTCTTTTTTTTTTTTTTTTTGGTTTTTCTCTGGTACCGGGAACCGAACTCACGACCTTGCGCTTGCCAGGCAGGCGCTTTGCCACTGAGCTAAATCCCCAGCCCTGGCCACACTTTTCTTTAGGCTAGAAACAAAATGTAAAGGCTCAGACTATTACATTTGGTTCTTTCTGGCTTGAAAAGGGTGTAGTGAAGACTGAATAGGTCTGGCTTATTTAGATGCTCTGTATGATCTAATTTACCCAGCCATCTAGTTCCTTTTCTCTTTGTAATATGTCTTTTTTCTTTCCAAAGATGCCACTTTCTTCCTAAAAATTAGAAATCTCAATACCAAAAACAGTGAAAAAAATGTTTAAGGCACTGATTTTCCAGAAATATAATGAGGACAAAAGTGAAAACTGAGGAGGATAACCTACTGAAGCTATATAGGAAACATCAAAAAGTTATTTAGAGTTATTCTCCAGAGGGAGCCTTCAAAAGAATCTGAGACGTCTTTTCTGCTCTTATCACAATAATTCTGTTTGCTCTGCAGTGCTGGGCTCACACCTAAGGCCCTGCACCTGCTAGGTCAGTGCTGCTACCACTCTGCTTACCTAGTGATAGCTCTAACTACAATAAAATCCATGATGGCAGGGATCGTACCCACTTTCACATAAAAATGTAAGTTCATTCCAAACTCTTCTATTTTCAGTAGTTGAAAACATAAAGCAAACGTGACCACAGACACATTTTTTCTATTTAAAATAAATTTTGACTCAAACTATTGGACAGGTAGATATTCCTAAACAGACAAATCTCTGGCTAGCAATAATCCTTGGAATTCAGTAATTTTCTGTATCTGGCAAGTATTTTAGTGAAGTATTTACTGGGGTTATAACTAATTGCTCTCCCTGCTGCTATGTTAAAGAACACTATGTCTACAAACCTGGTTTTTTCAAGGACCAGGGTAATAACTGCAAACTTCTATTTTCCCCAAAATATCTAAAATTTTTATACTTTTCCTCACTAGTCAAAGAACTTGCTACAAATGTAAAAAAGTCTCCATTAAAAGTTCTAGTTTCTAGTAATTCCACGTTACCCTTCAAACCATATTTCTTATTGTGCAATTATTATAGAAAGCACTAAAATGCACCCTTCCCTTATATGACTAAACTGAACCAAGTTAATGAATAATGATAGGAACTTTTTCAAGGTTACTTTTGGCCTAATGAGATGTAAGAATTTTTTAACAAGAGGAAACTAAATCCACTTCCACAATGTGATTTAAATTCTAAATGTTTGCACCTTAAAATACACAAAAGCCTCACAGAGGTCTTTTGTCAATTAACTCATGTTTCACATCATTGTTAATCATCTGTAATTCACTGAAAGTCTCTCTAAATAGAATATCTTTTCATTTAATACAGCATGTGCAACTTTTGATTGGATGGTCACTCATTCAGTAATTTTTTTCTTAGGTGAAAAACACCTTCAATAGAAAAATCATTTCTAACCTAATCATTTCGTAAATAACAAGAAGCTACCCAGGAAGAAAGAAGTTTGGTTAGAGCTACTTAATGGCAGAACTGGGACTGTACTGTATTCCAAGAGTCCTAACATTTTCTGTTCGCTCTCAGTCTGACTAGAGTGACACACTGCAGGTAATTTGAAATTAAACTGTTCCTTAAATGAAATAAGCAGCTATCCTACTTCCTGTCTTAATATTTTATTTTCAATAGGAAGTTATGAATTAAATACCAACTTGAGTAATTTTTAGCACATTATAAGTAGGCTTAATGGGACTTTTCAGCAGTTTAGAAACAGCTGACCCTTACTTCTATTTTCATTTATATCCCCAAAACTGAGTTTAAAGTTGGCAGAATCCCGTAACACTCTGAGCACACCCCACATTCTAATTACTGTAGCAGGCATACCAGTACTTTGCCATGGAAGCAGAGGCAGAGTCCAGACGTTTTGCTTCATGCAGCTGCAGACAGCTGTCCACAAAAGCTCTGGTTACACATATGTGTGTTTTTAATTCTGCTAATTTATGCTGCACAGTCTAATGTTTAAAGAAGAGGAAAGAATAAAATGAGTTTGGTAAAAGTATATATTTTGATTCAGCATTTCAAAAATTATATAATAAAAGATACCAAGAGCAAAGTAAACGTGAAATTGCTGGTTTTATCTTCCAAAACAAGGTATATGTTGAATTAAACAGCTTAAATTAAAAACCCAAATAAATATATTTAAGTGCTAAGGAAACTTGCACTAAAAAATGCAAAGACAGATAAATACCAAAATTATATCCTGTGTTACACTCTAAAGTCTGGACTATTAAAGGAAACTGCTTGGAAAGCAGCTTGACTAACGCATGAGCACCATCTGGTGGTGCAATCCTCTAGGTACAGCTGTTGGCCACACCTGTTTTCCTCCAGAGACCAAATCTTTGAAGAATTTAATGAAATTAATTATGGGCATTAATGAAATGAACTACATGCATTTCCCTTGTCTGTCTTGTTGTCTTAGAGTAAAATAATAAAGAAATTAGACAGATGGACGCCATGCTTATAAGTGCATCAAAATATCTATTATGCCAAGAATTATTTATAATATTAATAATGGAATCAAAGCACTCAGGAAGTGAAAATCCAGTAAACCGTAACCTTTTATACCCTCTCCCCAAACACTCTCACTCCTCTGAAGAATATATGTAGCGTATTCTTTAAATGAAACCGAATGGTCTGGAATTGTCAATGGTAATGTACTACGTACCCTTGGAAAATGAGAACATCTTTGATTATTCCTGACTGCTCTCCCTTTAATCAAGTTACTTTCTTCTTGATATTTCACTTTTACACCTGGAACTTTGAGTTTAGACTGTTCTCTTTGGCACCAACTTAAACCTCCTTCAGGAAATTGGCTTGGACTTGAAATACTGGCACACTCTACTTTGAGCAGCCTCCAAAAGTACACTCTATTCTAGATCACTATTTAAGATTGAGGCCCAGGCATGATCAGCTGGTTCAGTCTTCATTATGGAAATTCAGGTGGAAACAAGAGTTCTGGCCATTCTCCTGTGGCACTTATAAGGCACAGGTTAACAGCAGGCACACACATGGAAATCGGTGACAAACTTAGTGCAGTAAAACACAGAAATTCAATGCTTCCCACCTATGCGCTACTGCTAAATCAAAAGCCATGATTGAGTTCTCAAAAGAAGGCTGAGGAGCTAGATCTTCAGAGGATCCTGGGCTTATTTTTACACTACTCGTCACGAGAATTGTCAAGCCACAAAACTAAATCTTTCAGTGCTATTGGTGTGGGGATAGTTTCAGTACTTTTATTTCTGGAAAACTGAATGGGAATATAATGCCCCAGGCCCTGGCCAGATTTCAGTGTTTCGTGTGTAACAGGAGAGCTGAGGGACAGATTCTGTATAGATCTATCAACATACCTACTGAGCTGATTAAAAAAAAAAATACACCACCACTGTCTTCCTCTCAGTTTTATCCCATTCTATTCTAAAAACGGAATGTAACTGGCATCTAATAATTCCAAAGCCAAGCCTTGGGAAGCAGTTTCCACATACCTTCCACCTCCGTGTGTACTGGCCTCTAATTCTGAACATCCTGGGGCCTCATCTGAGACACGGTCTCAATGTGTAGCTCAGGTTAGAATGGAACTTGCTATGTACGCCACTCTGGGCTTGAATTTGGAACTGTCCACCTGAGTGCTGGGGTCACACATGCGCCACTACGCCTAGGCTTTCTTCCCCTCACATTCTTTCCCCTTAGTTTCTACCCTTTAATTTGCAGAACATTTTCCACTCCAACCTCACACATTCAAGCTTATTCATGGAAAATCTAAAGATGGAACAAGAAATGAAAAAAGCAAGAAAACAATCTTGTTTATAAATCGAGAAGAGGGAACACTCCATGAAAACCTCATGAAACAGTTCTAAACCCATTCTGGGCTCAGTTCAGTGATACTTCACTTGGAAGATAAAGGAGACTCTGACAAGGCTGAAGACGTTTTTGTCCAACATGATACTGCCCTTGAGAATTTATGTGCTATTCACAATATAAGCAGGGCCTGAGTCTCTCATAGGAGAACTCTTCCCGTGGGAGTGCTGGGAGATTCCAGAAGCTGAGGTTAAATTTCACGCTAGGATGGAGTGACTTAGAGCCTTGCTTCAGTACATTCAGGAAGGTCCACAGAAAAATTACTGCCTCCAAGAGGACATAATTTACTCTCTGCAGATAAAGGGGTTGAATATTCACATATTTTGGCACTGAGCTGAGCACTGCCAAGCAGAACGGGCCTTTGCTCTTTACTGTAGACGCTGTATGATGCTTTCTAAAGCCATTCTCTAACAAATGCCAGCGAATCACTGTACCACACGGTATTAGCAAGGTGCTTCTGATGAATGATCAGCATGTTCACAGCAGTATCTTTAACAGTCATTAATATCTGCTAGTAGGTACTACTGCATCTGGCATTTTAAAAATTCCTTTGAAGTTACTAAGCAGACTGGATCATCTCAGAGTTCTGAATAACAAATATCTTACCCTCTTAGAATTGGAAGACACTGGGAGAGGATACCTGGCCCAGCAGTCATTTAAATAACACTATTACCTGGATGTATCATATGACTTCAGATGTAAAATAAAACAGATTAAGCGTGTTACCTAAACTCATGGTTAGTTAAGAACTGGATATTCTTTCTGCAGGCACGGAAGGGAAAAGTGTTACCCCCCACACTCTGTGCCCTTAGAATCAAGAGCATGAACCACACAGGAAATGACTAATCAAGAGCTCGACTTAGAAAAGTACATTCCGTTTTTATTTCATTGGCCACTGAGTGAGAGAAAATACGGAAAGAAAAAAGGGCCATCCACTTATGCTTCTGGGCAGTAAGACCTGTGTGGTTAAGAATGCTGGTTATGGACTTAGAATGTCTGTGTAGTTTTGGTCAAGTTATTTAAACTTTCTCTGTTTCAACTTCCTTGTCTGTAACATGAAGATAATTGTAATACTTATTTTATATAGTTGTGAAGGAAAAAAGACACATTTCATTTAGCAGTGTCTGGCACATAGGGAGAAGTCAATAAATATTTCTTTAACAATTTTAATGTTTTATGGTCTACTGCAGGGAAAATAATGAGCTGTAATAGTACCTATCATCATTACAAAGAAAATAAAAACCTGTAGCTGTTGCTACTTTGGTATTAGAGTTCTCCATTCAAAAAAGGAAATACGCAAATTTTGTGACCATGTACCCAAATGGTCAGAAAGACTCAAAATGTTCAAAATTCAAGAATCTAGATAAAGGAAACTGAATAGCTGCATGGGCCTACAATGATGTTAGGCCAAGTAAACTGTGACTGACAGACGTCATCTTTTTCAGGTGAGTAACTAGAACCGTTGTGTATCCACTTCTGGAATAGGAGCTATGAGCACATATTGGTCATTTATCATCTCTACATATATTCCTAACTTGAAATATGAACATTTTATTCAAGGACACTTATTTAATAAAACAGAAAAATTAGAAGAATAGCTCAGGAACTTCAGTACATACTCCTACACAATGAACCTGTGCAAGCAAAATGCTACTGCCCTCTACTGAAAATTTAGTGAAGGGCTTTTGCAGGAAGGTAATAAAACGATGTTTTGAAAAACAGGAGGATTAGGCGAGCGTGGTGGCACATGCCTGTAATCCCAGCACTCAGGAGGCTGAGGCAGGAGGATCCTTGCGAGTTCAAGGCCAGCCTGGGCTACAAAGTGAGCTCAAGGCCATCTTGAACTGAATAGCAAGAACCTGTCTCAAAAAGACAAAAAAAAAAAAAACCAAAACAGGAGGATTAAAACTGTTTGTTTTTTTGCTATGGAACTACAGTGAATAGATACAGCCATGACTTACTTTATCATAGGAATATGCTAAGAAATAGGCCAACAGATGATTTCATTGTTGCTTAATTAAAGGGATATTCTGAGAAATATGCCATCAGACAATTTCATTGTTGTGTAACCATTATGAAACGTACTTACTCAAAGCCAGATGTACAGATCAATTGCTGTACCTCTTGTAATCAAGACACTTGGAAAACACAATAGCATGAGGCTACTGGTAGCATAAGACAGCATGCTGTTGCATCGTAAACTTTTTAAAATGAGTAGCAATATACTCTAATGGCCAAGTATAGCATAATGAATATATAAACACATGGTACAGTCATTTATGATCAAGTATTATGCACTGCACATAATAATACACCATACATGATCATACTTTTACATGACTGATGGTTTGTTTCCATCAGCATTTCTACATACAGACCAGTAATTCACTGGCTACATCAGCAGGTCACGCACGCACTCTGTCACTGATGGAAATGTGCTATACATGCCTCTATGTTCAAAGAAGCTTTTTCTTGTAAGAGAAAACAGTACAATTCCTTCATGGTTATATGTTAAATCACATTCTTTCTGAGCTATTCAGGCAACCCGAATAGTATTATAGTCATTTTTGTTATAATGTAGTATGAAATCCATAAACAGACAAAATGTACATTTCCAAAAGGATGGAAATTATGTTTAGTCGGTTGAACTTTTTACAGAATAAGGCCTATAGCCTTATTTTGTAAAATGTCTTAATAAACGTTTTGTATTTGTTAATGGTAGTGGGTGAGTGTTAGAGGCAAATATTACTGATGTTGCTGCTTCGGGTACAGATGAGACAGTTACAGGGTGATACCCAGGGTTATAACTTCCCTCAAGCTGCAGGGAGCCTTCCCCAGGACCCTAAACACAGGGTACACTTGCAGTTACTGCCCATTCCTCCATCTTTGACATTTCTGCATACCTAGGGGAACAGGGCAGGCATTGAGACCCACTAATTATGATTCATAAAGGAAAGGAAATACACAGTATAATACCCTGGCTCTTCAGAAAACCAGTTTAGCCAATTCTTCTTCCCCTCCCTCTCCTCCCCCTTTCCCCTACTCTCTACACCTCCCACCTTTCCACCCACCTCCCCCACTGGGGATTGAATCCAGGGTAGCCAAGCTATATCTCCAGCCTTGGATTTTAAAATTTTGAGACATGGTGTAAGTTGCTAAGTTATCCAGGAGAGACCGGAACTTTAGATCCTCTTGCTTCAGCCTTCCAGAGCTCTAGGATTACAGGTATGTACCACCATCCCTGGCTTGCTTGTTAAACTGTATTCTTTGATTGAGTGTGCACCCTCACTTTTACAAATTTGGAACAACTGCTTTGGTCTGTTATATCTGAAAAAAAAATGTCTTTACAGGAAGCAAAGTTAACTTGACAGATACATACAGGTAGTAAGCAGTTTCCAAAAAGACAGAAGAGAAGGCCCATACTCAGGAGCAAGAGCAAGAAACTGATTTAATAAAAAAAAAAAAAAAAAAGGCCCTGCTATATTGGAAAAAAATGGAGCAAGGCATTATGTAACAGCTAACTTTAATGAGGGCTTATTTTACTGGGCAATATCCTAAGCCCTGCACATTACTCCCCAAATCCCCTCAGCAATTCTACAAGGTAGCTACAGGTATTATTCATATTATTCAAAACACAATTTTACATACCAAGTACATTTAAAAAAATCTTACAAAGAGGAAAATAGTTCTGAGATAACTCACCTCACTAGAGAAATTCCAGGAGCTGAGCTAGGATTAAAACCACACTTAAACGTAGGTTCTACAATTCTGGTCTTGAAACAATTCCAAAGTATTTTATTTCTATCTTTACCCTCACAAAACCTTTTAGCCAAAGTCACTGTGATTGAAATTTTAAAAGTCAAGTCCTAACTCAAGGTTTTTGATCGTGAGATGTTCCACCAATTTGGTTACTGCAATGCTTATAAACTGTTGTTTCTTTTAATGAGAAACTAGAGGGTCCAAAATTTGATTGGTGTATTTGGTGGTTGTAACCACTATACACTGAGTTCTTCTGCAATACCTTAAACTTCCTGGAGAATCCACAACTCTCCACTGACTCTCTGTTTGTACAAGCTATGCCTGTACTAGTAATGCTCCTGCACAAAATGTAGAAGATACAGTGTAATTCATGATCACTGACCTAATGGGTCTCCAATAGTGCTAGCAAGCTACCGCGTATCTCTAGTTAGTTGAGTCTCTAACTCTAAAGAGAGAAATGAACTTTCCTCCCTCTGCTTAGATACCTCCTTGCCTCTTTACGTTCAAGAACCAACTTTCTCTATTGTTAAAGAAATCAAAGCTTTTTGACAAAAAATTTTTACTGCTTGTGACCAACAGAACTACATATTGAAGAACCAAAGGAACTAATAATCACCTCCACAGTCACAACGCTTCCCTCTACTAAGTCCTTCAAGTATTAAAAGTATGCTTCCATGCTCCCATCAACTATAAGAACAAAAACCAACCTCTCAATATTTCCTGACTCCCACATCTACCCCTACTCTCCCTTCCCCTTCTCCATTATCATCTTTATTCTCAGCTATCATTTTGTAGCCAAATATGAGAAAAGAGTCGTCTGTCTTTACTATCTACACATTTCCACTGACAGCCGTCTACTTTGGCCTGTCACTCCACACCAGCATTAACAGTTCTTACAAAATCCTCAAGCATTATATCCAGTGAGTGTTCTTTGACATTTGTGTATTTTTCCTCCAGATATCACTGGATCCCACTCCCTCCTACCTGACATCCTCTTTCCGCTTGGCTCGGTACAATACTCTCCTTATTTGCTTTCCCCTTGCTAATGTACATACTCAGTCATCTTCGCAGGCTCTTTCATTCCTATTCCACCTTCAAATCTTGTAGAAATTCTCTATGGAACTCTGTCCTGGGACCTCTGGTCTTACCTTCTAGTCTCCTTCTCTTAAGCATCTCATTCATGGATACCATGTATTAAAATTATCCCAAGTTCACATTTACCCTAGGCCTATTTGAGATGAGTAAACTGCTACCATCTAGCCCCAAACCATAACAACGAGCTTACCTGTATGTGTGCAACTGTTTTCCCAAAAGCTTTTCTTTGCTTAACATAGTTCCTTGTTTCCTCAAACATGAATTCACAGGCAGAAATTGCCAAATCAGCAATTAACAATCTTTCCTAAAACCCAAAAAGTAAGTCTTAAGCATTATTCTAATTATACAAATGATTTTCATGCCATTTCAGTTATAGTAAGTTCTATAAATAATCTTTATAATAAACTCCTAAAGGTTAATTTATTTCTTAACTCTATAATAAAATGCTCCCACAGAGATCTGAGATTATGACCTACCTAAGAAAATAATTCTCTAAAAAATGCTTTATTTTCATGAAAGACTGCCATTACTATATGTAATCTATATAACTTTCTCTTCTTTCTACTCATGTATTAGTAAAGAAATTCCACAGATGATTTTTATTTATTGATTTCTGTACTATATAGCAATGTATCAAGACAAATACCTTCAAGACTATATGTTGAATTCTACCTACCAGTACAAAAGTAGCCTTAGATTAAACCCATCATGCCAATAATTTTCATACTACATTTAAATGCTAGGTTTCTGGTCCTTTCCCCAAATTTCATATATTCTGTCACGGCAGTCATAAATGTACCCCTTATGCTGGCACACAAGGTCCAATGTTCTTTAGGCAACCATATTCAAAAACAGTTCACTTTTGCTGCTAAAATTTTTCAGTCTGAACTTGACACCTTTTCCTCTTTGAGTCAAAGTTATCTAAAAATTGCCAGATGTTTTTCAGTGATATTTCCTTACAAAGAGCCAAAAGTTCTTGTCTTCTAGTTTTTAGGCTCAAATCGTTCTCTAAGAAGGAAACAGAGAACTGAAAAAAAAAATCCGTTTTTCCTAGTCACTTTGTAAGTTTTAGTTGGGTATTCCTGAGTTCAGTTTGGCATGCATGGATTTACGAGGGCTGATCAAAAGATACACCATGTGTTTAAATTTTAACATTACTAGAGTTCATGAAAAACATATTGGCATCAATTACCCTCAAAACACTCCCCCTCCCTTCAAGCACACTTATCCTCACTCTTGCCACATCTTGAAGCAGTTCTGGAATACTTTTTTGTATCTTTCCAAGGAGTGCAAGGTAAGATAAAGAATGTAGTTAATGCTGCTCCATGTTTCACAGAAGGAAGGCAGACCCTTACAATACTGTAGTGTGTCTTCATTCACCCTGTTCACCACATCTTATTTCTCATGGGACTTCTGGATTGTCCCAGAAGTCAAAATGATCATGAAAGTTCAGTCAGGATATCAAGGCAGCCTTGATAGTGCAACTAAAGACATCCACAAAAAAGGACTCCCAGAATACTTCAGAAGGTGGCCAAAAGGAGGGCATAAGCATGTTTCAGGCATGGAGCAGGGGATATGCTGAAGGAGATTAATAGCAATATGCCATTTAGTGTAGTAAATGTTTAAAAATTTAAACATTCACTGTATTTTTCAGTCATAATTTGCATATGGTCCTGTATTATTCTATTCTAGCCCATTATATTATTAAAAGATGGAATCTTTAATTTCTGACCTGTGGGAGCTCTTGCATAAGGTAATAGAAGCCTTTATTCTCTTCTCCAAGTAAGGCACTAGCTGGCAATCGGACATCTTCAAAGAATAGTTCTGCAGTATCCTAAAAGAAACAATTAAGTAAAACACAGAATGAGCTCATTCAGGTTTCCCGATAACCCTATGAGGTAACTTTTATTATTTCCATTCAGTGATGGAAGCAGCTCTGAGCAGGACTTAAATTAACCAATTAGCTTTCCATGTTTACTTGTGAGTCTGTCCAAGGCCTAGGCTCCTTGTCTGGAGATGGGCAGTAGACTCATAGTAAATGAACCTCTGTGAGTCACTGATCCCTACTGAAATGGTGGGTGAAGTTGTAAAGGTTCAGGGGATAAGACAAGATCACAGCCAAGGACACCTGGATCCAACCTAAACTAGATAAAGACTATAGCCTCAGGCATCTCACTCCTGGGTAGATGAACTGAATACCTTACTTGGAGAAGTTCTTGAGTGATTATCCGCTTCCTGATTATTCCCCTCCCTTCTTCTGATAACTAAATAAATACAGGCCACCCAGAGAAGGTCTTGTTCTTAGCCCTGAGAAAATCTCAAATTCTGTGAGAGGGCTTTTTTTTTTTTTTTTTCTTTTTTTGCAGTACTGGGGATTGAACTCACGACCCTGCCAGGCAGGCGCTTATGCCACTGAGCTATATCCCCAGCTCCAGTGAGAGGGCTTTGATTTTCCCAGAGCCCTGAAATCATTTCATTTGCCTTTTTTATTTAGCCTTCACCATATACTCATTTGGGAGATTGCAGACCTGAGCAGCCCACAATAACTAAGGGATATTATTAACCCAATAACTCAACATTTTTTAAAAGGAACAAACTGGAAGACACATGGGAGTGGTGAGTGCACACAAAATGTTAATGGTAAGTCAGGGCGTTAAACCAGGTCCATCTGATTCCCAAACATGCGATTTTTCCACTGCACTACACTGTCATTCAGGTTCTAGTACTGTCTAGTTCTCTAAGGACTAAGAATTTTTAAAATGTATTCAGCAAAACTTGTTTTTCCATAATACACAGGAACATATTTTTTCTTCTTAATTTTTTTTTTTTTTTGTACCAGGAATTGAACTGTGCTTGCCCGGCAGGTGCTCGTGCCACTGAGCTATATCCCTGGCCCTTATTTTCTCTTCTTAATTCACAATATTCTTAAAAAAAACAAAAAAGGAAATAATTTTTTTCAATACATTTCAAAAAGAGTTGGCTTGCTGGGGAGACAGCTCAGTGGCACAGCACCTGCCTGCTAGCACAGAGTCCTGAGTTCAATTCTCGGTACCAAAAAAACCCAAAGAGCTGCTTTACTGCTGTAAGTGAAGTTTGCCATTTCTAAAACATATATTCAAAGTATCCTGATTCATATCTTTTACTGACTACCAGAAAGAGATACAGTAGCATTACTGTGAATGAATCTTTCTAAAAACCTTATTCTAGGAAGTCAGTAGAGGAAGAAGGTATGACAGGCCACAAGCAATCCTCTATACATCTTTTCTGATTGATAAAAACAGCTATTACTTGAATATGAGTTCTATCATGACTTACCTGGGCCTTTAATCCCATCTTATGTAGCTTCTGTCCCTTGATAAATCCTTTCATCCCATTTTCCACCAGAAAGAGACTAATGCCGTGGGCAGGTGATCGAGCTTCACGATTGGTGACTGCGACTACAATCACAACGTCACTCAACCATCCGTTAGTGATGAATGTCTGCAAAACCCAAGTACAATATGATGCTCTGTAAACTCAAGTCCATGCACGTCATGATTGGCAAAGGCATATTTAAGAAGATGAAAACAAGCAAGGCATGCTTTATTTATCTCTCTCTGTGCCCTGTTCAAATACATGAGGTTTAATATTTTTTTCAGCACTTGCTCCATTATGTCACCTCCTTGTTTAAAAACCTTGTAAGTCTCCCAATTTTTCTATCTTTCTATGGTAACAGTGACCACTTTCTGCAGTTGACACAGTTGCGTTCCTAAGTGTTTTCTGTTTAAAGCATCCAGGAACTGCTATTGCTAGGCTCTGAAACCCACGGTCTCAGACATGCGTTAACTACAGATACTAAACAAACAATGGAATGGAAAGAAAGAGGAGCAGTCTACAGGGCAAAAATCACTCACTTGAATCCCCTGTTCTCACACTGGAAAAAAATCAAGCGATTTTTCCAAACACTGCTGTCAAAGTAGTTATAGAACACGTTTAATGGACTCTCACGTACTTCTACAACAACCCGACCTAATGTATTTCCATCACGGCTGACGGCCCTTCTAAGAAAGTTCAGAGAGAATTCTCTATGTAAGTGGCCCTTCTCTGTGTGCATTCTAATTGTCACGGTCTTAAATTTGAAAAGGGCTGGGATTATCCTTGAGGGACATAACTTTTACTAAATACTTCTAATATAATATAAGCTCACTGTAAATATTATATAGATGGGATATAAAGTTACAGAAACAGGGAAAAACTTTCTGACTCTGTAATACAAACATCACTATGAGTTTCCTTTCTCATCTCTTATTGTTGAAATTATTCTGTATCTGCATTTTGTGTGCCTTTTCACTTAATGTTAACACATACTTGTAAGTAACTCTAATAATATAACAATTATATATTTAAAAACTTGTGTTGCTAATTTATGGGCAGGGTATTAGTTCTGATGTACAGTATTTACTTCCTCACTCCTTTACTTTCACTTGCTTTCTATTTTTTTTTACTTTTCCTAATAGCGTTTTTGAAACAGTCAATGCTATGTGCTTCTCACAGAACACCGTAACTGAGCAGACTAGGCTCAGATATTTTTTTAATAATAGGAGTTGAACCTAGGGCTTTGTCCATGCTAGGAAAGCACACTATGCCTGAGCTACATCTCCAGCCCTTTTAATTATGCAATACAATCTTCTTAAGTTGCTGAGATAGGCCTTGAACTTGTGATCCTCCTGCCTCAGCCTCTCCAGTAGCTAGGGTTAAAGGCATGTGCTGTAAGGCCCAGCCCCATTCACTTTTGACCAAATGCCTCACTCTTCTTTCAAAACAAGCTCTTTGCACACTGGGAGTTAACTGCTAACTGACTATCCACTGGAATCAGCATCTACCGTATTTATAATTTAGACTGATATATCTTTATATATACTTGAATAATGTAAGTGGTACATGGTAGTCTACAATATAAGTGGTACATGGTAGTCTATAAAATTTCTTAAAATGTACAATATGTTGTTTTCAACTTTTAGAGATGTGGACTGCATACCAGGCTATCAGAGTGAGAAGTTATGCACATCTTCCAAATGTATTTGATCATACAGTTATTGTTTCTGTCACAACAAAACTAAGAAACGTTGCTTAGAACTGAGATTCTCAAAATTAATTCTGCACACTGATGTCAGCCCATAAACTGTTAACAGCCTCTAGTAACATAAATACATACATAGAGAATATTTAGCATCTCCTAGTAATTTGACAGTGCCATGACACCCTTTGCACACGTGAAGATATTCGCCTGAAACTAACTTGAAATAAAAAGAATTTTTAATGAAGAAAACAGGGCTGGGGGTACTGTTCAGCTGTAGAGTGCATGCATACTTTTTTCTAGGCTTTGAGCTCAACACCCAGTGTCAAGAACCAAAGCAAATAAACAGAAAAACTCACCTTTCAGCAGATCTTCATACATATTTTCAGTAAGACTTCCTTAGAACAGTATACAAATTAACCATCCTTCCTTCACTTACCACTCAGTTAATAAAACACATTTACCAAGTACTGTATATATCAGACATGATCTTAGGCATTATCATTCACCCTCAGTGATACTAGATTCATGAAGGGATATGTCTTCTGTTGGGCTATTTATAACCATTTGGGGGTGGGGCTACAAGTCTATCAGTAGGTTAATGCTCAGAAGGACAGAAGGGCTCTCAAATTGTAACATCCGGTACCTTCCTGTCCTAGGCTATTTGTAAACTCTTTGATACTTACCAGAAAGATTTCCCCCAATTCTTTCATCAACATAAAGCTCAGCTGTCCCATATTTGGGCAACATGGACCTTCCTTCTCCCTTTTCTGGTTTGAGAAGGGCTGTTTTGAAACTGAAATCATCTTTGCAGTGTTTGTGAGGGAGCGCACAATATCAAACATTCAGGCTGCTACCACAGATCGTATGGAACATAAAAGTTGTAAGTTTCTTACTATCTCTAAGCACTTAAGTAAATAATTTCTGTGTGAGTCCTTAGGTCCATTAGATTCAATGATGAGTAGTCTTTGAGACATTATTACCCATAGCGTGCCTCTGCAGAGAAGGGCCAGAGAGCCCCTCTTTACACACCTTGCTTCCATTGAGAATCCAATCACTTCCATCTTTTTTGGCATGTGTTCTTACTCCTTGTAAGTCACTATAATTAAAAGAAATAATAAAAAATTATCAGTAGGTAAAAAATCAGATTACACAAATGCTGCCATGTAAGTATACACATAATGTGATCAAATTGGATATAACATTATAAAACTCCTAATGTTAGGACTGTTCACACAATTGCAATGGTGTCTGATACATTATATTCTAAAGGTCTTTCAAGAATGAATTATATAAACTCGCGAGACTTTAGAGTGCACAGATCTCCAAGCAGAACTAAGATGGCATTCCAGGGCTTACTATCTTGCTAAGGTTATATGTCATCGTGTCTCATGTTTTTACCTTCCTTTATATCCCTTGGCTCCTTCCCTTACCTCTAATTCATCAAAAGACTAGCTATGTAAAAGGGTATGTCTCAAGTGCCATTTCTTCTAACAAATCTGCTCTAAAAGGATATTTTGCTAAATATAAAGCAAATATTTAAATTAAAATGTAAAAAAATACAAACAGTATTCCAAAGGAGAAAATAATTAAAAAAAAACTGTCTCAATGAACTTTTAAAAAATACATCTTTGTAGTATGTTTTGATGGACATAGATACAGAGACATGATACACATTTTTATAAAATTGTAATCATGTATATGATTTTAATCTCTTAACAACATGTATTTTTTTCTGTAAGATAATTTTTATCTACAAGGAATATCATCACATGAATTTACCGTGATTTTCTTACTCCACGTTTGCAGTCCACACTTTTCCTTTCCTTCTGTGGAGTTGGTACATGTACATCACACAGCTCAATTCCTTTTTTCATCGCTTCCCTGCCCCGCCGTCATTTTCTTTTTTTGTTTGAGACAGTGTCTCGCTGTGTAGTTCAGGCTGGCTTTGGGGACTCACTGTATAGCTCGGGCTGGCCTCAAACTCATGGCGATCCTCCTGCCTCAGACCCAAGTGCTGGGATTACAGGCACACGTTACCACACCTGGCCTTGCACTCCATTTCTTATTTCCCTTTCCCTTGGAGAAAGACTTATCTCCATACTTGCTATGGCCTATATTTTATTTTGCTCTTTATTTATACTGTGGGGTTTTCATATAAGATTAAGTATGTGATAGTTATACTGTGTATCTGATTTATTTCACTTAGTATTATGGTCTCAAGTTGCATTCTTTTTCCTCCATTGAACACTTACATTTCAATATTCATGAATATCCTACAGTGAATAGCATCATACATAAATATTTTCTATCACTTATTAGGAAATTGTCATGATTCTTCCTGTATGTGGTCTTTATATTTTTATACTCCATGGAAGCTTTTTTTAAAAAATATCACTCTTTGTATTTGGCTGAATAATGAATCCCTCAAACACACTGTTACTGTGCCGGTTAATTTTTTGTTGTTGTTGTTTTTGTTTTTCTGTTTTTTTTCCAGTACCGGGAATCGAACTCACGACGTTGCACTTGCCAGGCAGGCACTGTGCCGCTGAGCTAAATCCCCAGCCCCCATGCTGGTTAATCTTGACTGTCATCTTGACTAGATGAATAAACTGCTGAAGAGATTAGTGAATCATAATGACACTAACTTCATCAACAGGTCAATTCATGGAGGAGGTCATACCTGGATGTGCTGTAAGGAAGTGGGCAGCCTTCTCAGAGGAACTGGGTCATGGACGTGTGACCTTGGGAACTATGTGTACCTCTGGTTTCTGACCACTTCTACCTGGTTCTCCCTTGCTCTGTCCTTCCTGATTGCTACGACTTGAGCAGCTTTCTTCCATGTTTTCCTGCCAGGATGTTTCTGCCCTGGAACCAGCTGAACACAGACTGAAACATCTGTGACCACGAGCTAGAAATAAACCTCTCTTCCTTTAAATTGCGGGTGTCAAGTCTTTTGTACCAGGAACAGGAAAGCTTGACAGTCACCTTATATGAAAATGCGATCTTAAGCTGGTCACGGTGGTGGGATGTGCCTGTGAGCCCAGTACTCCAGCGGGATGAGAACAAGAGATCTGAAGCTGGAGCCCATCCTGGGCACCTTACAGACTTAGTTAGATCCTTCTCAAAATAAAAAAAAAAACTTAAATAACAGCTAACGATAGGGCTCAGTCAGTGCAAAGGCCCTAGGTTCAACCTCCATTACCTTAAAAAAAAAGGACCTTGAAGAAAGATTAATTTCTGGAAGATGTTGAAATGGAGAGAATACATGAATTGTCTGGGTACGTCCTAAGTATCATAACAAGTGTCCTTAGGAAAAAAAAGGTCAAGGTAGATTGCATACATAGGAAAGGAAAAAATGTGGTTGCAGAGGGACTAAGCCAAGAAATGCTATGGCCACCAAGAGAAGGAAAAGGCATGGACTGGCTTCTTCCCTGTACCCTCAGGAAGGAGCCTGGCCCTACTGATACTTTCATTTGTGCTCAAAAATACCGATTTTGGATTTCTGGCCTTCAAATTAAATTTCTGTTGTTTTAAGTCATAAACTTTGTGGCAATTTGTCACAAAAGACATAATAAACTACTATCTTCCCTTAAGAGTGCTTACTTTAAATTTTAGTAAAGATCTTATTTTTCCCATCTATCTGTCAAGCTTTCTGAAAATGTGGTATATATGACTACATGCACCTTGCCTACCATACTGCTTTTCAAATAACAAGAACTGAAATGCCAAGTGTATAGAAAAGAGTTAATAAAGCAGACCAGAGACTGCTATCTTTAGAAAGGCCTGATTATAAAGCTGTCTTTGACTGGCACCTGAGAATTTGGATTTCATGAAGATTCTCACCATATTTTGCAACCGATAGCATACATCTATAGTATCTGTGCAAACAATACAGCTATGCTGAACAACTGCTTTCCTTCTGGGAATCTCAACTTCTGAAACATGACAGGAGAAGGTGTCTTGTCTATGTGACCAGCCTCCAATAACATCCTGGGCACTGAGTCGCTCATGAAATACAACTTGTTGCTGAAGGAATTAAGCATGTCCAGTGTGACTTCATTGGGAGAAAACTGAAAAACTGCTCTTTTATTTTCTATGGGCATCACCTGGAGACTTTTGCTTCTGTGGATTACGGTTTGTGTCTCTTCACTGTAATAAATCACAGCCACAGGTATGATAAACAATCTTGTGAGTCCTCTTACCACCTCAGTGAACCTGGGGCAGGGTGATCAGGGAAATTCAACACACCAAGATATTAATTAGCCACATAATCACTTCAAACAGTGTGGGTAAGTTTCAGGAGGAAATTACATAAATACAGAACCACCCATTTAACCTGAAAGACAGGTTAAATGGAAGAGATTTATGAATTAATCTATAACCTGTCTATTCACAGAAGGACAATGCTAATAGTAGACATTTTAAAACTAAATAGTGCTGTATCATACAATCACAATTTTCATCAATTAATAGGTACAGAATAAGGTATCATTACTAAAATCTAAACATGGTCGATTAAAACAATGCTTCATAGGGACATATAAAGGTAATAAATGTAATGACTCAGTTTGTGGATTTTTCTTACATTTCTGCATGGTAAATATGGAATACTGAAGTTGGTTTAACAATATATCAATTGGCAATGTCAAAAATTCTGACTGTCACAACAGTCCCCTTAAGAGTTACTATTGGAATGTCACTGATCTAAGTTTTTAGGACCAGAGACTTTTACCCTAGTGCAGCTGGTGTCAGAACACCCTAGCTCTAATACAGTCATCAGTTCACTCCAAGCACTTGGTTAAAACACTTCATTTACTTTCTGTTTTCTCCTACCAGAGGGAAGATAATACCTTTATGGCCTATATAGATTATTATGATAGCCAAATAAGGAAGTCAGTGTGAAAGCATTTATAGAACGTTAAGGTATCACACAAACATACATAATTATACATGATGAAGTCTCCTAAGTACATGGGAGGACAGTGAAGCTCTTGGGTTATTTGTAGCAATTATAGCCTTTTTCCTTGGAGCTCAAATCAAAGCAATACAGAGAGTGGGCAACCTATCTCTAAGAAAAGCCACAATGAACATGTCTCATCCTCTCTATTTGCCCTTTTAACACACTTTCCTTATTTCTCAGCATAATTCCTTAACACTTTTCATTCACAACTTTTCTCCTTCCTTGCATACTCTTACTTTTAAAATCTGCCATGCCAGCCTGTCTTTGGTTCTAAATACATATTTTCGTTTGTTTGTTTTGTTTTTTTTCCAGTACCAGGAATCAAACTCATGACCTCGCACTTGCCAGGCAGGTGCTGTGCCGCTGAGCCAAATCCCCAGCCCCTAAATACACATTTTCAACAGCTTGTTCAAAATTCCAACGCAAAGCTCACCCCACTTTTAAAATTCATCATGCTGAACATTCAACTCATATCCTACTATTTTATTTGCATAATATGTTAATAACTCAAACACAGCATCTGTTATAACACGCTTTAATATTATTAGTATATAAAAGTGCCCTATTTTCTACTAGAATTTTAAGTTACTTGAGGTTGTGAATTATGTTGTGTTCATCTTTGTCTTGCTCTCCGTACACAGCTCAGATTTATAGAAAGAAGGTTCAGTCCCTGGTGCCCTAGGGCCCCCGGGGTATTGGTTGCAGAACTCCTTGCAGATAACAAAATCCACAGATGCTAAGGTACTATATACAATGGTGTACTAGTTGCATATAACTCATGCACATCTTCCTGTGTACTTTAAATCAGCTCTAGATTACTTATAATATGGGGTGATAATAGCACCTGCACTTGGACCCCCAACAGCAGTGGGGTCTCCAGTGGCCAGAACAGAAACAGCAGCTAACGTGCCCGGCGCCTAGCGTCAACCAGTGGCAACAGTGTCCACGCTCATCCCCACTACCCTCTTTTGCCCCCACTAGCCAGTTTCTAGCAGGACTTCTTGGACACCTCCCCCTTGCAGCCTGCCCACCAGTCACATCCAGGACACTAGCACTAAGCACTTAGCTAGGAGTCTCAGGAACAACAGTGGCCTAGACCAGAGGTGGGAAAAGCTAGAAAAAGAAAAAGTGGTGGCCTTGGCTGCAGAGGGCAGTGAGGTGGGTTGAGAAGCTCACCCAGCCGCTAGGGGGCAGAGTGAAGCCATAGTGAGACGTAGGAGTGGTAAGTGAGAGCCCGGGGAACCCAAATATAGGAAAATAATCAAGGTTATGATTCAATTCACTCAAAACACTGCTTAAAACACCCCAGACTCTTGCATCGCTCAACTGGTTATTCTTCCCTTGACAAAAATTTAAAAATCTACAATTAAGGAAAGGGGATCCAGGGATGTCATGTCTTCTGATACCTACTGGGTCCAGAGATGAAATTGATTACTAAAGGAAAAACATTTAAAGGACTTTTAGATGTAAGTGCAGATGGCCTTTGGCTGTGGCAGCTACAGGTCGGGGGGGTGTAGCTGGTGTTTTTTGCTCCAGAGGAGGTGCTGGGTTACTGACCTGGAGGGATGGAGAAGGCCATTACTTAAATTGCTAATATTAATTGGTTCTGCCCAGCTCTTAAGCTAACAACTCAAGATTTACGCCCTCTTTGACATTCTCATGGGGGATCCAGCCCCCACCTCTCCAAGAACGCTTATGCCAGAAGCTAACACTGCCCTAGATAAAGTTAATCTGAATCTCTCTAATGCTCAAATTTCTGGAGTTGACACATCTCTGCCCAACTCAACATATGCCCACCGGGGTCCTCTGGCATTCTCAGAGTTCTGTATCATGGCTACATATGCCACATGTTCCACATAAAACCATTATGATTTTTCATGATGCTGTGGCAGAACGTGTCACATATGGGCAAGTGTGTGCTGTTCAACTCTTTGGTTGTGAGGTACGAACACTCATTGTCCCCTTTTCTTTAGTTCAACAATATTAGTTATGGCAATTTCCATCCTCTTGGCAATTTGCACTGACTAACTTATTGACTGTCATTATCTTTCAGACAAATTAATTCAGTTTGCTTCCATTTTCACAGATGGGTCATCTTCAGGCATGGCGGTTTTGTAACAGCCTCCTCTTCCAGAATATAGGATACGGGTTTCTCTTGTACACAAAAGACTAAATTACAAGCTGACATATGGGCCTTGCAAGATTCCCTGTTCTGTTGGTCACTTACATTCCCATTCCCAATTGCCAGGGCCTCTCACTGAGGAAAATGCTGCTGTAGACACACTGCTGGCTGCTGTCACTGTTACTCCCTCAGACACCATTCAACAGCCTTCTGCCTTCTGCAACAATTCCATTTAACCAGGGAACAGGCTCAACACATCGTTAGGCAATGTTCCTCATGTGCAATACATTTTCTCTGAGTATCTATGGTGGTTAATCTCCAAGGATTATACCCTAGTCATCTCTGAGAAATGGATGTCACTCATATTCCTGAGTTTGGCTCTTTACACAGGGCCCACGTTTGAGTGGATATTTCCTTAGTGTTTACCAGTGTTCTGCCCGTACTGGTAAAGTGGCTAAACATGTCATTGCTCATTGCTTGGATGCCTTTAGTAACCTTGGCTGCCTGCAGGGATTTAAGACTGACAATGGCCCAGCACATACAAGTGCTGCTTTCCAAATGTTTTGTAAAACTTTTCATATTTCCCCTGCTTTGGGAATTCCTTAAAATTCTCAAGGTGTAAAAATTGTTAAACATGCTCACTGTATGCTCAAAATTCAATTACAAACCCAAAAGGGGGAATTGTCCCTACAAAATTAACACTTCATAGACTTCACCTGACAGTAAATGCTATTAAAATTTTAAATTCTACTGTGGATAAAACTTCAACAATTAAAAGACAATTTAATCAGGAAAAGCAAAAAAAGCTAGGAAGAGTCCTTTAAAAACCTCTTCACACTAGACAATTAAAACACCTAGCCAAGTGCTAACTTGGGGTTGAGAGTATGGCTGTGTCCTTCCAGAGAATGTTGAACAACCTACCTGAGTGCCAGAGCACACTGTCTGGTTGTCATGAGCCCAGATCTGGAGAAGCTGACTCTACTTTTCAAGGAGCTGATGCACAGTCCTATGACAGTGATGTCTCAGAGACTGCTCTACAACCAAAACCCAAGGATGAGGATAGACCTGACCTTGGGCCAACTGAAGGAATTGACCCAGAAAGCTCAGGAGATGGTAACAAAATATGGGAATCAAAGGTCTGAGTAGATGACAGAGTATATAGAGATAACTGAGCTGAAAGGTGACAGAATAAAATACAAAAACTATATATTAACTACAGATAAAAGATTACCTCAGAATACTTATAGGAGATCTCTGCTAACTGATGAACAACACAATCTGACTAGTGTATCTACAATCATAAATTTCTAAAACTGTAAAAGAGTTACTGTAATTCAGTTTGGTCAAAAATATATTTGACTGCACTCTGATTTTGTAACATGTTTGTTTGTCCAGTCTGTTAAACTATGTGTTTGTCATATCCATGAACAGATGTTCTTTCTATTTGAGCTCAACAATTTTTTCTCTTTTCCCCTTTTCTTTTGCATTTTGGATCATTTTTCCAAAACTGAATTTGGGTTATAGACTTAAAAGCATGTTTTCACCTGGGTTATGAGCTGGTCAAGATGATATCAAATTTGGTTATTTCACAGGTCATCAAAAATTGCTAAGCTAAATAAACAAAAATCCTTAGGGTGGGGAGAGATTATTGAAAAGGATTCCAACTGATGAATAACATTAACCAGTTTTTGTTCATTAATAAAGAGCTCTCAATGATCTCCATAGACCTTGGGAAATACCTCCCCAGTAAACTGGTCATGGTCAAATGGTTAAATTTTCTAGAAAAAATACAATAAGGTTTTCTCACAAAAGTTGTGCTTGGTACAAAACTAAATGAAGAAACAAAGGTTTTCATATGTGCATGACAATTCATTATTGTTAATCTCATGGTGTATTAAATGTATTGATGACTCCAGATGTACAGGTCTTCCAAAATGTAAAACAAGGACTGCTTACAGTGATAGACATTTCCTTCAGATTCAGACCTCTGCCTTTAACAAAAAGTTTATGTAATGTACATCCCATTAAAGGTCAACAAGTTAGGTAAAAGTTTCTTATGTATTAGAGATGATTGATTAAAAGGGTTATGCTATGTCAAAATGAAAATTTAAGTATGTTACAAAATGTCATGATTGTCATGTTGCAATGTTATATGTGGCTTATGATTTCTAATTTTCTGTGTAAAGTATGTAACTTATCTGTATATATCCTGTAGGGATTTAAATACTGGGACATTCATGATTGGTAGAAAATAATGGCTCCATTTTATGCTCTAAAGTGTTTGACAGTCAGATAGGATAGCAATTTAAGCTTACTGCCCTGGTTACAATGTAATGTTATTAACCTTCTTTTCTGGATGGTCAACAACTGAGGTTTGGAGACGAAAACTTTTTTTTTTTTTTTTTTTTTTTTTGGTTTTTCTCCGGTACTGGGAACCGAACTCACGACCTTGCGCATGCCAGGCAGGCGCTTTTGCCGCTGAGCTAAATCCCCAGCCCCTTGGAGATGAAAACTTAAGAGTGTTTGATGGGCTAAGGGGCTGGCCAATATTTTGGTGCTAGCCCTATGAGGCCAAGGAGGACCCAGGATATAACAAACTCTGCTGTGACATCCTATAACTTGGTACAGTCCCTGATCTTCTGACCAAGGAGACAGTGGGACCACACAGGAAACTGAATGAATGATGTACAGTGCGCCCAAGGTCAGTCATCAGGAGAGAAAAATTTCTCAAGCTTTCACAGAAAGCAACTTGGTTGAGCAATGGCCTTGACTCACCCAGACTGCTGACACTCACAGAAGTACTAAGAGGTGCTATACATGGTTACAAGGTAAGTCCTGAGGAGATTTAACTGACCATGTACAACAGAGGAAGATTAATACATCCAACAGAAAAGTAAAACCATAAGAAAGAAAACTGTCTATAGAAGTCCTCCAAACACACCTCCTCCAACTTCAGCTGAACAGCTATTGCTTGCCACTACAAAACAGAATCGGGGAGATGTAGGGAGCAGCTGAAGCTGGAAATTGGTCACGTGTGTGGGGGCGAGGCAAGGCAGGTCCAAGAACAAAGAGCACCTGGGGCAATTATTCTGCTAGTTGTTGCTAGGCAAGTCTGTCATGTGATGCTAACTTTGTCAAATGTATAAATAAATGCCCCTATGGTGGTTGAGCAATCTCCTTTTCTGCCATCAGGAGAAAGAGCTCACTCCCTGACCTCAGCTTCTGTCTCTTATCTTTATTTTTGCATTCCTCTTGCCCTCCTTTCCCCTGGGGTATGGGAAATCAAACTCATAACCTCACGCTTGCCAGGGAGACACTGTGCCGCTAAGCTACATCCTTCGCAAGAAAAAAATTTACATACATTGGGTACAGAAAAAAAATTTTTTTGAATACTTCTGACCTGAGGCTGGCTGAATGGTAGATGTGGAACCTATAGAAATGGGAAAATGAGTGTATGGAAAAATGTTGGCTATTACAGCAGTGCTTCCAGGAGTTAGACCAACTGAATCCCTGACTTACCTCCCAGCACCAGGCTCTGTCATGGCTATGGCACCAATACATTTGCCTGCAGTCATCTGGGGTATGAAGTGCTTAATCTGTTCTTCTGAGCCATAATTTGCAATGTAGGGCATGACAATTTCTGAATGAAGACTAAAACCTGGGCCTGTACAATTTGTGTAGGACCTTAGAAAGAAAAGGAAGACAATTAAAAACACAAAATATTTACTTTGTTGTTTTTAGGTTTTTAAATTTTCAATCAGAATGACTAGTATAACAAAAAACTGTTCTAGGACTTATACTGGGTAATACCCTACCTCCTCATATGAAGTTGGTTTTTTTTGGTTTTTGCTTTGTTTTGTTTTATTTTTGTATCGGGAATCAAACTCAGGACCTTGTGGTTGCTAGACAGGCACTTGTGCCACAGAGCTATATTCCCGGCCCCTACCTCCTTATAAATCTATGACATCCTCAACGTTTTCTCTCTGCTTTTACTAGCTTTTTAATTGCCCATTCTAACATAACAGTAGTGCTCTAGCTGCTTAGTAAGTAATTAAGAAGTAAAATGCTGAGCCCCTAGAATTGTACTACCCTAAAACAGCAACCATATTTATTTATGGTAAACTACCTTTGGATACCTTGGTTCACAAACAGAAGCAAACAACTTGGTTCACAAACAGAGGCATTTGGCAAAATTCTGTTTTTGTTTGCAAACTCTGTATCAGGTGACAAATATCACAGTCATCTTTTGCACACAAACACAAATGCGGCCATCTTTTCCAAAATCATAGATAGACTAGCCGGGCATGGTGGCACATGCCTGTAATCCCTGCACTTGGGAGGCTGAAGCAGGAGGATCTTTGCAAGTTTGAGACAAGCCTGGGTTACAAAGTGAGCTCAAGGCCAGCCTGAACTGCATAGCGAGACCCTGTTTCAATAAGACAAAAAACAAACAAAATCATACAACAAATTAAGTTTATGAACCGAAGTACCACTATATTCTAATACAGATGCAGTCAGATTACAACTTCTGTAATTTGCTTTTGTCTTCTCAAATTATGACATTACAAAATTCTCTTTCTTACATAAATTTTATTACAATTTTAAATCTAAATAGCTACAAAATATTCCAAATTGTTAGTGTCCTATAATTTACTTCTTCTCGCACTCCTGGATATTTAGATTGATTTGAAATGCAGAGGACTATGACCTAACATAACAATGATTTCTGAACACGGCTTTTATTTTATACTACTCAAATACCTTGGTAGGATAAATTCTCTAAAATGGCATTGTTCATCAAATAGCAATAACTATTTCATTTTATGTATATACATATATTCACCTTTTTAATCCTCTAAAATATTTTTTTAATTTGTCTTTCTTTTTTTGAGACAGGGTCTCACTCTGCAGTTCAGGCTGGCCTTGAGCTCATTTCGTAGCCCAGGCTGGTCTCGAACTCACAATGATCTTCTTGCCTCAGCCTCCCAAGTGCTGGGATTACAGGCGTGCACCACCATGCCCGGCAATTTTTTTTTAATTTGCAATGCCACCAACAGTGTATGAAAATTCTACTTTCACTACAATACTACAACTCTGTCACCCTGGGTATGAGGATTTATCATTTTCAGAATGCTATCTATAAGTCAATTTAACTTATAATGATGGACAGTAAAGATGCACTTTTTAATTTAATAAAATCCATTTGTATTTCTTTGTACACGAAATGTTACTTGAAAAATTTTGCCCATTTTTAACCATTATCTTTATTTGCTCTTATATATTAAACCTTAATGATTGGTGGAAATATTTTCCCATTCTGCCATTCCCTTTCAAATATGTTTTTCAGAAGAAAGTATCATGAGCCAACCAAAAATGAGGCATTCCCCCTAATTTTAAGCAGCTCCTACTTCAACAACTTAAAAGAGGATTTCCTATTCTTGCTAAATTCAAAAAATGCACAAGAGTATTTGAGTGGTACAATCTTTCACATTCTATCCTTTGGTTTTTGTTTTGTTTTGTTTTTCTTTTGGTACCAGGAATCGAACTCATGACCTTGCACTTGCCAGGCAGGTGCTGTGCCGCTGAGGTAAATCCTCAGCCCCTACATTCTATACTGAAATTTCATTCACCCCAGATTTAGAAAGCACTTTAGTTATCATTTCAGGAAAGTGAACTCAAGCTTCATTGTCTCCATACTTACTGCTCCTCCCAGACAATAGCTGCTGAGAACAAGTCACCACCGATACCACCATGACGTTCGGCAATGTTGATACCGAGCAATCCTTGTTTTCCAGCTTTTTCCCAAAGCTCCCTGCTCACTTCTCCAGCTTTCTCCCATCTGCAAATAACAAACATTTTAAAGTCAAAAAAAGTCTTTCAAATTATTTAAATGGCCACACTTTGAATTTGTAAATGATTTTGTGCAGCAATGCATCCTTAATTTAAGAGTAACTGTTGCCGGGCATGGTGGCGCACGCCTGTAATCCCAGCACTCAGAAGACTGAGGCAGGAGGATCACTGCGAGTTGGAGACCAGCCTGGCCTAAAAAGTGAGCTCAAGGTCAGCCTGAACTGCATAGCGAGACCCTGTTTCAAAAGACAAAAAAAAAAAATTAAAAGTAAAAAATTAAGATTAACTGTTGACAGTGCCATACCCTCCATTTGCATCTGAGTCTTCCATTCTTTTTCTCTTCCCTACTTCTATTTGCCACCTTCTGCCTCTTCCCTTTTTACCAGACATAGAAACCACACCCACTGATATTCATGGGTGTAGTTTCACTCAGCTGGTGCTCTCAGGGTGCACGATTACTTGTGTCACATAGTCAAGGGAATTTGGTCAACTTGTAAAGAAAATTTCCCTCTGCGTATTTTCTTAAAATGCTGAACTAACAGAAAAACTTACCAAAGCTGACAAGAGCAAGCAACCTCACCCCATTAAATGGAAGCAGCAAGAGTGCAGGAACACCTTGCACTGCAGATGTGTCCAATCAATTTCTGAAAAGTCTGTGCTCTTCCCACTTCCTATTGGGCTAAACCCAGCACCTTAATCATGCTAGCTAAGTGATGTGCCCACCTGAACTAAATCCCTATCCCTGGCTTTTCTCCTTTAAAGATGAAATCAGCACAAGGAAGAACTAGATGGTAGTTAGAAATAGTGAAATAATCTAAAACTTTTTGTTTTCTAAAGGAGTATATCCAGTCAGTAAGATGAATGGTAGCTAAAGATACTGACTGAAGGTAGATATAGACACAAGAAATTTTAGAAGAAAAGTTTTGATTATCATTGGTGTTTTGATGTATGTAGTTACTGCCTAGTGTACCTTTGGAAATATTTTAGTATTGACTCAAAATGTTTTGACTTTAATTATTTTTACTTCAGGGCCTTCTCAACAGTATTTCTGAAATAAAACTTAAAAAGCAGTGAAGAAACAAAAAAAGATTCTTCTAGAACAAAGTACACTACACTTCTCTTATCTTTAAAAAGCTATAATTAGCCGGGAGTGGTAGTGCATGCCTGTAATCCCAGCACTCGGGAGGATCATTGTGAGTTCAAGACCAGGCTGGGCTACAAAGTGAGCTCAAGGCCAGCCTGAACTGTCTCAAAAAAAAAAAAAAAAAAAAAAAAAAGCTATAACTAATCACCAAAGATCGGTCATAGCTTCAGTTAAGCAAATTTTGGTGATTCTAACCAAGAGAATATTAAAAACCCTAATAGGCCATGGACCACACACCTATTCTCCCAGCAGTTGGGAGGCAGAACAACCTCAAGTTTGAAGCCAGCCAGGGCTACATAGTGAGTTCAGGTCCATCCTGTATTACATGGCAAGACCATCTCCAAACAATACAAAATGAAACAAAACACAAAGCAAAACGTAATGGCATCTGTTTTTAAATGAAATTTGAAAATTATTTTAAATGTAGCACTCTGCTGTCATTGAGTGAATTTTGGAAACAGGAAGTATTTAATAGAAATGATAGTTTTTGTCAATAAAGTAATCAGTGATTAATCAAGAAACACCTAGTAGTGAAAGTACTTACAGGTGGCCAATCACCTACCGAGATTTGCACTATGCTGGCCTTTTGACCTTTTAATTCATTTATTTTAATTCATTTATTTTTTGGCATATATTGTAATTCATTTATAAAAAGAACTTGAAATGGACTAGCAGTCTGTTGCCACTTAAGCATAATTTTCAACAATATTATCCTTAAATTGTACATTTCCACATTACCTCATTATTGAAGCATAGATTTTAAGATGCATTTAAAATGGCTCAGTGAGATGGTGTAAGTCTATAGTCCCAGCTACTTGGGAGGGTGAGGTGGAAAGACTGCTTGAGCCCAGGAGTTCAATACCAGCCTGGGCAACACAGGCCCTATTTCAAAAACAAAAACAAAAGAACACTTCCTTTAAAAAGCTAACAATAATAATAATAATAAATAAATAAATTTTAAAAAGAAGCTGGGGATCTGGCTCAGTGGTAGAGCTCTTGCCTTGCATGCACAGTGCCCTGAGTTTGATCCTCAGCACCACATACATTAAAAAAATAATAATAATAAATAAGTTTTTTTTTAAAAAAAAGCTAACAACTCACTTAAGAACCCCATGATCTTACACTAGTATGGCGAAAAGCAGTAAAACTGTTAATAAAAATCGAACGCAGTTTTTCTGTCCAACACACAGCACTTTATGGTTCTTTTCATCCATGAAAGAAATGTAAGCAACTTACTCTGCATGATAAGGAACCACTTCTTCTTGAAAAAACTTCCTTACACTTTCCCGGAAAATGTCATGCTCTGAAGAAAAGATTCTTCTAATTCCTATATCTGTAAGTCTTTTAGCAGAGCAACTTTCTAGCCGTACTTCCCCTCCAGAATGAGAAAACCTTTAAAAAAAGTGCATTAAGAAAATTAAGTGAACTGTACTTCAAATTAATGTGACTGAACAACATGGAAGCTTGAAAGCTTTCCCAGAGACACTGGAAACATCACCACTTTTGATAGGCTCTGCCTCACTTTGCTGGGATTAAACACTTTAGCATTATTCATCTCAGTCTGCACTTCTAATTCCGTAAGAAGGATAATGCCTAGAAGCAACCACAGGTCACAGCTGAGGTGAAATATAGTGTTGTCACATGACACATAGATTAAATTACATAAACGTCAAACGGCACAACAGAATAATACAAACTTTCAGATCGTATACACTGTTTAAAATAATGCAAACCTTCTACATTTAGTATTTTATACAGAATCACATAACTTCAACTGACGGTGTATCAAATATAAACTGTGTTAGAGACACTGCCGCACTACAGAGACGATTTGGGTGGATACCAAATTGCCCACTAATCTCTATATGGATCTGTATAGCATTATTCAAGATCTTCAAAAATTGGCTGTCATCCGTCCTCCTTAGCCACCCCTTTCCTGCAAGATGACCATTTCCACACAAAGCTTAAAATGAGAATGATCTGCAATTCTTTTAGTTCAACGGTCTTATTTTTTTTTTTTTGAAATTTTGAAAATCTGTGTTTCACTGCCCATTTTCAAGACCACATCTAATACACATTATATATTCATATATTGCCAAACCATATTTTTCTGTTTTGCATTAAATTCTGATTTAGGTTTCTCTCTTCCTTTTTCCCTTTTGTTTTTTAAGTCTTTGTTTGCAAAAGACCTACTTACTATGATTAATCACAGCAGACCCATGTTTTTGTTGGGTTGTCGTTTGTTTTGTTTGTTCTCTGTGGTACTGGGGGCTGGACCCAGGCATTTTACACTGAGCTACTCAGTGCTCTGAAGTTGCCTCCGCTGGGTTTGAACTTGTGATCTTCCTGCCTCAGCCTCTCAGAAGGCTGGCATTAACAGCCATGTACCGCCATGCCATGCCTGGCATTTTCACAATGTTTTTACTAAATGTTAAGACATGTTTCTCCTAGAGTGGTGGTACATGCTTGTAGTCCTAGCATTTTGGGAGGCTGAAGCTGAAGGGCTCCAAGTTTCCCTCCATCATGGACACTTAGTGAGATCTTGTCTCAAAATAAAAAATAAAGGCCTGGGGATATAGCTCAGTGGCATAAGCAATTGCCTGGCAAGCCTGAGGTCATGAGTTCGATTCCCGGTACCAAAAAAAAAGCGGGGGAGTTGGAGATGCAGATCAGTGTGAAAAGGCAAGTTTACTCCTTAGTATGGGGGGGGGCAGAGAAGAGAGAAGGTTTCCAAGATCTTCCTAATTATCAATTACACTAACTCAGGTTAATATACTCATTAATCAGTCTTATTTGTTGACATTTAGGTTGCTTCAATCATCTTTTTCACCTAAAATAAATGCTTCCCACTTGGTTAACTTTTGTATATTTACTTAATATTCCCTTAAAAGTCATTATGTTGAAGTCCTACAATGCAATAGTACTGAATTAGAAGACAGGGCTTTTCGAAAGCAAGCACAGTTAAATGAGGTGAAAAGGGTGGGGTCTTAAACTGGTATGACCACTAGCTCCTTAAGAATATTCTCTTTCCCTTAAGCAAAGGCCACTTAAGGACCTTGAGAAGGCAGGCGAAGACAGACCTCACCAGAAACTGATTCAGTTAGCACCTAATTCTTGAACTTCATAGCCTCTTTGCTTAAGCCACCCAGAGAAGCACCTTTTACTTAAGTTCTATAACACAGCCTGAAATGACTTTTTTTCTTTTTCCACTGTGAAGGATCAAACCCTGGGCATCATATATGTCAGGCAAATGCTCTTCCACTATGCTATATGCCCAGAGCCTGATAACCATCAATTGTAAACATTCAACACTACACTTTTGGGCTGGGGATTTAGCTCAGCGGCAAAAGCGCCTGCCTGGCAAGCGCAAGGTCGTGGGTTCGGTTCCCGGTACCGGAGAAAAACCAAAAAAAAAAAAAAAAACACTACACTTTTCACACTACACCTGCCTTTTGGCCTCATAAACACTTTTGTGATTACTATTCACTGTCATTGAAATCATAACTTTCAATGGATAATCATAACTTTCAATGGATAATCCATTCAGTTCACAGATACTAAGTACCTATTCTGAGCCAAGCACTGATCTAGTGGTCTCGGGGTACAAGAGTGAACCAAAGACCCTTGTCTTCATGCTTATGTTTTAACAAGGGGAAAATGAGTAACAATAAAAGCCCAGTAAGTAAGCAAATTACGTATTAGAGGCAGTAAGTGCGATGGGAAAAACAAAGCAGGAAAGGATCAGGAGCGCGTTGGGAGGGGGTAAGGCAGAGAGAGAGGCTGCGGTACAGAAACAGTGCAGTCCCGGGGGGTTTTAAGCAAAGGTAAGATCTAAGCAAGCCCTTGAAGGTCACAGCCTAACATTTTCTAGAGTAAAAGGCTTGGGGCAAAGGAGCAACTGGAGCAAAGCCTGTAAGTCTGTACCGTGCCTAATGTGTTCCGGAAAGAGCAAGGAAGCCAAGTGTGGCTGGAGCGGACTGAGCGAGGAGCAAAGGGAAGACCAGAGGACAGGAGGGGACCAGAACCCGCAGGGGACCTTCTTTAACCTCATGTTGCACAAAATAAACTAAAACTTCACTTCTGTACTTGAAATGACTGGCTCCAATTTTTGTTAGTAACAGTAAAGCTGCAAAACACATAAGCTGTCCACATAAATTTTCCATATGTGGGATTCTTCCCTCTGGGGGAAAACATGCTGAGGCTAGGAAACTGGGGCTCTAAGACACAAAATCATTTGCTAATATAATGAGCAAATAAAGCCAAAGTTTCCATGCAAGTCTGCCTAGATTTCACATTTTATAACCCGTATTATATTAAGAAAATCTTTGGAATATTGCTAAGTAAAATACATGAAGACACAAGAAGGCGAAAAAATGAAAAAAGAATAAAGACTTTGAGGCTAAAGGTCACCAGACAATAAGTGGGGGAAAGATAACAAAACACTGACAGCAAGTTTGTTAGACCCAAGAAGCCTGTAATGAATAAGCTGCCTTCCCACCCAAGCATTAATGGACTAATCTTAGAGGCTAAGTTCTAATTATCTTTATAAACCTATTTTTTAAAAAGGAAACAATCTATCACTACATGGGGATTGCTTATTTATACTCAAGCTCAAGCTGCGCTCCAGACCTATGGTATTATAATCTGTATTTTAAGGCTGGGCGTGGTGCTGCACGTCTGTAATCCCAGCACTCGGGAGGCTGAGGCAGGAGGATCGTTGCGAGTTCGAGGCCAGCCTGGGCTACAAAGTGAGCTCAAGGCCAGCCTGAACTGCATAGACCCTGTCTCAAAAAAGACCAAAAAAAAAAAAAATCTGTATTTTAATAAGCTCCCTAAGTGATCCATATGCACATAAAAATGGAAGAATCCTGTTAAAATAAAATTATAACTTATTCAGAGGGTCCCTCAGGTCTCTCCTTTTCTGATACTCTCTTTGTAAGGACAGATTTTCTTCTCATACTTGCACCAACATAATTAATCCATCTCCGGGCTTCTCTAATTTTAAGAACGTAAAGGGGTCCGTAACAAAAAAGTTGGGAGGATCAGTGTTTTACTGATGATTTAGAAAAGTGAGTGTATCCTAAAAAGTTACCTCAGCCTTGAAGCCTACCCAAACCCGCCCAGGAAGAGTAAGCATTACGTCTTGCAGGGCTCTCCGCACCTTCTTGTATTCTACAACAATGTGCTAATTAGCTCATTTACCCGTCCTGTCACCCTCATTAAGTACGAATCCTCCTGCTTCCAGTTCGTTTACCCAATGAATGGATTTCACGCCTCAGACGCTATCTGAACTTCTGATCTCACTATAAATCCACTTTAATAGTCACCGAGCTACTTAGACACTCCCTGCATTAATCCCTCTGCATTTAATTGGCTTGCAAGATTTGTAACCAAACCTCAGGCTCCCCGCGTGCCGGGTCCTCCGTGGGGCTTCCGGGGCGCGGCCGCAGGGGCCTCTCCCAAGCTGCCCCGCAGTCCAGCCCGCCGCGGCCCTAAGTGGGGCAAAGGTCGCCGCCCGCTGTCGCAGCCCCGCCCAAGGGGCGACCACTTCTCGGAAGCCTCGCCGGAATCGGGGTTCGGCCTTCGCGGCCTGGCAGGGGCACCGCCACAGCGCGGGTCCAGGGCTGCGG